TCTCCCCCCCCCCCCCTGCGCCACCCCAATATCTGTGGCCCCACGCCAAACCACCTCTGTTTGCCCAACTCTCTCTGTCCTGTTTCCCAACCAGGTTCACGCCTCCCTTCTTCGGCCCCGACACACACATAGGCGGTAGCGCCTGCACATTAGGTGAACGGAAGCGTTTGACGGCTCAAGGCCAAAACAGTAGCAGCAGCAGCAGCAGCAGCAGCAGCGACAGCAGCAGCAACAGCAGCAGCAACAGCAGCGGCAGGAAATGGCGGATGCTCCACTCCCATCCTCGACGGACACCGACATCCTAGGCGACTACGAACTCGGCGGCGGCGAGGGTGACGACGACATCGACGCCGATTTGGCAGCGGCGGCCGAGCTCGCGGCAGAGGGCGCCGAAGTCGAGGAGGCCGATGGGATGGCCACAACCGCCGCCGCCGCTGCCGCGGCGCTGCCGGCGGCGGCGACGGCGGTACAAACTGCTGACGGCAGCGGCAGGGCCACGGGGGCAGGAAAGGGGGGCATCTTGAGCGGCAGCAGGCCGGCGGCCGCGGCGGCCGCCGCTAGCGGTGGGGGCTCGGCGGAGCTGATGCCGCCGCCGCCGCCGGCGGGAGCGGTGGCGGTGGCGGCGAAGCCGGAGCCGAAGGAGGCTAACGGGAGCAGCAACGGAAGTGCCGCCGCGAGCAGCAACGGGAGCAGGAGGAGCTCGGGCTCGCGCAAGGTGTGTGTGTGTGCGTGTTGCCGGAAACATGTATGTATCCGTCCTGGTTTGTTTGCGCTACAGCAGACGAGACTTGTCGTTTTTTGCGGCGTTGTACAACTGAAAAGTGAACCCAAGTGTTGAAAGTGGATTGAATTGTCCTCCAAATGCACATGCAACACTGCCCATTTTGCTTGCTCTCCGCCTTCGCCCTCGTGTAAACTCCCCCGGCCCGGCCCGACCCTTCCCTTCCCCCAGGTGGGTAAGAGACAGGGGGGCTCAAGTAACAAGGGTGGGGGGCGAAGCAGCCATGGGGGGCGGTCGGAGGATGGACCGACCACGAGTGATAGGGACGAGCACCCGTGGAAGGTGAGGGGTTTTCATCCGGCCGGCTGTGCATAAGCCGAACGCGGGGCTGGGGGGGGAGGGAGCGAGGATTAGCGACTGTTGGTACGGAACTCGCTACAACCCAATGGAGAAGGGAACCTCTTGGGAGTTGAGGAATTCACGTTCGAAAAAACGAGAATGGTCCCTACAATGGGACTATTTAATAGTCGATGTTGAGTACAGTAACCCAACAGACGGGATAAGAAAGATGAGAGTTTCTTGAAAAGTGGCGCGTTCCTACATGAATCGTGTTTTTTTTCTTTCATATTTTTCATCGTTGATTTGGTTGTTGTTGCGGTTGACGCCGTCCTTGATGTTGTTTTGGACTGACCGACCGACCAGCATTTAAGCTTCTGCTTGTTCGGGTGCGAACTGCGTAAAAACTCAGCTCTGCGGCGAGTTCTATGGTCGAACCTGCGTTGTAGGTTGTGCTCGACGGTGGCGACCAATCTAATCGTTCCCCGACTGCGTGCGCCCCCCCGAATGTACGGGACGCGGCGGAACGCCAAAAGGTTGGGTCTACGCTGGAGGTTATCACTTGGAACGGAACAGACCGGAAGTTCTGCGACATCGTTGAAACCGGTAAGTTTGGATACCCAGGGCGTTTACGTTTTTCCCCCGCAGTTGTTGGACTTTGCCTTCGATTTTCCTCATAAAGGCATCTTAAAAGCGAGCGTCTCCCTTGAAGTATGCTCGCTTATGCGACCATTTTTTTCTCTTGAGCCTGTGGAGTCCTCCCCCTCCTCTCTCTTCTCTCCCTCTGTCTCTCCTCGCGCGCCTGTGCTTTGCTGATGACTCATAGCATGTCTCCGCATCTCCGTTAGCAACCCTGTCGTGGAACGCACCCCCGACGCGAGGGACCTTTTTTCCCCCTTTTCACGCATCAAGTTTTTCCTAACGCACTGGCTGCTTGTGCTACAACCGACTGGGGAACATGGTAATACGTCTTCTGAGAGATGATGAAACAACGAAGGCCGTCTGCTCCGTGTGGGAAAGAACCTATTCCTTGTGGGAAAGCACGTACACGGCCATCTCAACTCGACGGCTCTGCACGCTTTGGCATATGCCGCACACCAGCTTTTCACACCGTAGCTTACCGTTGACAAGGGTGGCACGCGACACGCCTGTTTCTTGTGGTGTGTCGCCCCGACTCATGAACCGGACTCATACCTACCTGCTTATCTAATGTCTCGCCGTCTTCGTTTTCTGCTACCTGACCTCGGCGAAACGGTTTGCGGCGGCGCAGCCCCCATCTCGTCTATGTCGGACGACCCGGACCCTGCTAAGCGAACGAAGTACTACGTGCACTACCACGGGCTCAACAGACGGATGGACGAGTGGGTCGGGGCCGACCGGGTGACCAAGCCTCCATCAGTGGCTAAGGCGCAAGGTGGGCTTTTTTAGAGCACGAACGCCTGCAGGATACCTGTTTATTTTTGCGGGGTGATAACAGAGGGAGACATATGACCAAGCTTCCATCCTTGACCAAAGCGCGAGGTGAGACAAGACCAGACTGCCTTCACCATACTTTTTTTGGGGGGGAGGGGGTGACGACGATGGTAGCGGGGGCGGGGTGGGAACCATGTGACCAAGCCGAGGTGAGCTAGGGTAGTAACGCCTGCGCCGTGCCTGTTTATTGTAGAGGGTGACGACAGTGGTAGCAGGGGCGGGGTGGGAACCATGCGCCCAATCGCCGTCGTAGGCGGCAAACGTGCAAGAGGAGACGACAGCACCACATGTATCTGCTCGCGACGATTAACCCTTATGTGACTGGGTTTTCCCTGGATCTTCCGAGGGTCTTTTTTTTCTTAACTGGGCGAAGAGACCGCTGACATCATCAAGGCGAAGGCTGTGGAACACATATTTCAACCACCGTCTCCCGTTCTCTACATACCCTACCGGTATCTCCCACATGCACTCGAGTACGCATGGTCGCATCCACACGCCACTCCCTTGCTCACACAAACCTTTGGTATGTAACAGCAGAGCACCACACATCAGGGCTCTCATCGGTGACTGCTGTACGAGCTGGGCGTGAACTGGGGGGNACCTGTCTCTTATACACATCTAGATGTGTATAAGAGACAGCATCAGGGCTCTCATCGGTGACTGCTGTACGAGCTGGGCGTGAACTGGGGGGCTCGATCGAGAGAGGCAGACACATTGTCTTCACCCCGCACTGCTGCATGGGTATCCACATCGGATAGCTCANTCCACACGCCACTCCCTTGCTCACACAAACCTTTGGTATGTAACAGCAGAGCACCACACATCAGGGCTCTCATCGGTGACTGCTGTACGAGCTGGGCGTGAACTGGGGGGCTCGATCGAGAGAGGCAGACACATTGTCTTCACCCCGCACTGCTGCATGGGTATCCACATCGGATAGCTCAAGTAATATCACTGCTGTCCGCCCGCGGCCGAGGCAGCACACCCCGCCCGCGAGGCCTGGCACCTCCTAACGTTCCACTTTCAGTGCTCCTTCGTTGGGAGCGACGAGACATGTCCACGCACGAACGAATGTGACATCGGGAAAAATCCGAAAAAATATCCAACCGTCGGCAGCACACCAGCAGCAGAAGCAGCAACAGTAGCAGTAGCAGCAGGCCTCGTGGTATGACATTCGGTTGAAAAGAGACGCCGATACGCATACGTAGAGGGGACCCGTCGAAAGGCATCGCAAGGTGGACCCTTACTCCTGTGCGCCAGCGATAACTTGGGCACAAAACGAAAAAAAATCTGTTTTGTGTACGAATCGCAAAATAACGCAATATCGGGTCAAATAGAATAAAATCGTGCAAAATGATCAATTTCTATACTACAGAAAGAGGGGAAAGATCGGAGCTGTGATCAGAGTTGTAGTCCCGAAAACCCTTGCTATTGTGAGCGAAAAGTGGCCGGGGACGATAGTCTCCTTGCCGCTCCTACCTCTCTACCTTTAGGCACAACAGCAGCAGCAGAAGTAAAACCCAATCATCACCATCATCATGGACCCAGAGGAAGTTGCTCAGTTTTGGCAGCACATGGCAGACCAATGGCATCCCGAGACGGGTCCACGTGTTGTCTGGGATGAGCTGCTGGCCATCGCGAACTCCACGCCAGACCAACTTCCCGACGCCACCGCTGCTGCAGCCCGGCCGGTAGGACAGCGCTACTGTCAACACGGGGCAGCAGAGCCGCAGCCCCTACCCGAGATCAGGAACCTTGCAGAAAAAGCAAGACCGCGGCGTNGAGCTGCTGGCCATCGCGAACTCCACGCCAGACCAACTTCCCGACGCCACCGCTGCTGCAGCCCGGCCGGTAGGACAGCGCTACTGTCAACACGGGGCAGCAGAGCCGCAGCCCCTACCCGAGATCAGGAACCTTGCAGAAAAAGCAAGACCGCGGCGTAGCAGCACCCCGGTCTCTGCGGGTACCATCGTGTAGGGGACGCTACTGCTGCTGTGCTGCTGTCCCCGTCGTTATTATGTTCCTTTTCGACGGTCTACTCGTCCAGTCGAGCCCTCGTCGACGCAGGTATTCACAGCTCAATTCGGGCTCAGTTCGGTTCGATAATGTCGCATTAAAGAGTCATCGGAGCTGGGAACGGAGCTCATTCGTGGGTGTAGTCACATTAGGGTTACGGTGTACTAGTAGGGAAGGGGACGACCGTGCTTCTGAACCTTCCGTAAGCCCCAACTACTGTATGTCCCTTCTGCCGGCACAGCCAAGGCGCAGAAGGAAGAGATGGAGCGGGCCCGGAAAGAATTCGAGCGGGACAACTCTGCGGAAGTTGACCTGGGGATTCGCACCCGTCGGCAAAAGCGAAAGGTACGGGCGTCTCCCCGTTGCTCTCCGTCTCCTGTCTGCCGCGCGTCCTTGTGCGCATCGACAGTCGGCCTGCCCAGGAAACGGGGGGGGGGGAACAATGGGCGCCTGCCCTGTGCTTGTGTTGGCGGCGTTCTTTTTCAATTTTTGATGGCAGCGGTGACGCCGCATTCCTATCCAACACGCGCCCATCTCTAGAGACAGACTTTCACATTCACGCCTTGCTTTGCTCAAAGGGTTGAAAGCAAAACTCCAATTTGGTCGTGGTCCCTTCGTGACCTGGACCAGCTCGAGTGTTTACTGTAGAGGTACTTATTTCGCACTGTCGTCGAGGTTGTACCAGAAAATGAAATACGGAAGTTACACATGTCCGGAAACTGAGACGGTTTCGACGGCAAGTTCATGGAAAGGTTTAATTGTTTTGATTTGCTGATCAGACATTCAGAACGAAAGTGCTTGCGCCTGCGGACGGGCTTCGAGGCGCATGGTGGACAAACCATTTTTTTTTGTTCTTTAGTTCTGGCCGTTTCGACCGTCAATTCGACTTTTTTTCTGTGTCTTGAGGTTCGACGAATGGATGCTGTTGTTCCTTGGTCAATTTTTTACGCCAACTCCGTTGTTCCCATGCCCGCACCCCTTATCCCGCCCCACTTGCTTTTGTGCCATGATATGTAGATCGGAGATACGGAAGAAGAAGAGGTGGCCGGAGCGGGAGGCCTGGGGGTTCACGGCGGGCAGGCGATGCACATGGATGACGATCACGATGAGCACCACGGTCTGGACGAGGCGTCTCTCAAGGAGCACGAAGAGGTCACCAAGGTCAAGGTGAGATGGATGGATGGGTAGACGTAGCGCTCTCGCCTGTGTTCTTTTGTGCTCAGTCGGGGTCTAGGCGGCAGCGTCGTCTCAATCAACGTATTCAAGGTCAAGGTGATGGAAGAAGATGGTGAACGAAATGCTCAGCAAGATCGGCCGTTGCCGGGCCAGCGTCTGTGCGTGCTATAATAGAGTGTTACTCTCCTCCCCAACCGAATTGTTTTGTTTCTAGGAGACCAAAAAAGTGTGAGTGAAACGTACCAAGGGAGAGGTTTTTTGTCCAAAGTGGTCACCGAGCAACGAGTGAAAGTCGAAAATACAGTATCGAAATGCAACTAAAATTTCGAAGAATTGAATTGAATCGAATCAAACGTGAAGCTCGAAGAATGAGACATCGAAGCTCAAAGAATTGAGAAACGTAATCAAACGTGAAGCTCCAAGAAAGGTAAATGTTTTTGTACATCCTGCAGAACGTGAACGGGGTCGAGCTCGGGCGATACCGGATGGAGTGCTGGTACTTCTCCCCCTTCCCCAAGGAGTTCTACCCGGATGGCTACGTGGACACCCTCTACTTCTGCGAGTACACTCTCAGGTGACTCGGGCTTTGATATTGTCGTTCGGGGGGATGTAGTGTATAATAGCGGTCCCGGTATACCGCGGTCCAGAGTAGCGCGTGTCGTGACGATACACAGCGGTAAAACATGGCTTGTTGCGGGATTTGGCTTACTATACTAACAGCTATATATCCCCCAACACTCAATCGTGAGGTGTTCCGATATACCGTGGGGATTCTGCCTGTCACTACACCGCGGTACGGTATATCGGGACAACCACTGTATCCGGAATGGGCAACGAGCGGTTTTCTGGTCGTACGGCCTCCGAGTGTAAAATAACTCCTATATTTGGACAGTTTTTTACGATGACGAAACGGCGCTTCTGCGATGCCTACACGTCCAACGACGATGCCGCGGTCATCCAACCATTGCTGATGGCTAGCGACACTCTTGCTGTTGCATCAACAATTTCCTTCGTCTGTGCTGTTCGATTTGGACGTGGTTGCCGTAGGTAGGATTGTGGTCGTCGCTTTTTATTGCTGGTACACCGTCGTTGAGCTGGATTCATTTCGTTGCGTGGCCGGATACCACTTTTTTTTTTTTCCTGCCGTATCGGTGCCGCCAGATACTTCCGTCACAAGAAGGAGCTTCTTCGGTTTCAGAGGAAGCAGAGACCACCTCGACATCCTCCGGGCAACGAGGCAAGCTTCCGTGCAAAAAACTCTAGATATTGTAGCACGCGCGAGTTTTCTCTGTTACCTGAAGGGGGGCTTAGATTTATTGGGCGATGAGGTGCCACTGGTAACGGCGCGACCTTGTCTAGACATTGCTGTGGTCGTAGCGTTCCTACCCTTTCCCCCTAAAGGCCGGTGTCTAGCATCGTCGAATTTCGGTGTCTAGTATCACGCTACGTTCTCGTGTCTATGGTGGTTTCGTTCTGATGAAAGTCCATGTGGTTTGCACTGTCCACGTTCGACAGTCCCCTGCCCGCTTCTCTGCTTGGCTCTGGGTGCCCACCTTTAGCAACCCCCCCCCCGCCTAGTCCCCCTCGGTGTTTGCCGTCGGGGTTGGGTTTTCGTCGCTTGGCAACGACGTTGTAAAACAAGCCAATTCACTTCGTGAACTCGGCAACCAGGTTACCGTTTTTTTTNAACCATAATGGTGGTCGAGTAGATCATGTTGTGCGGGGTGGAGAACCCTCACTCCGCGCAATGGGGATGATCGCACCACGTTGTGTTAAATTGTTCAAGCACCCTT